CGTAAGAACATTGCAGAGTCTTCACTGAGATTCCACGGACATCCCGTATGGAACCCATAGAAATAATTCGTAGAGATCCCCTTCAGATCCCACACAAACCCCACCAGTGTCTCACAGAATCCCCATAGTGACCCCAGTGAGGCCCCTCTGAGACCAGGACCCACCTGGAGGAGTGGCCAAGATGAGGAAGGATGTGTGAGGGCTGATAGAGACGAAGCCAGTCGAGAACGAGATCTTGGCTGCGCCTCCAGCTGGGTTCTGGCCTCACTTGATCTTCAGTGGGGTCCCTATGGGGTCTGCATGGGACATCAGTGGTGTCCCTATGGGGTCTCTGAAGGGACTCTGCAGGATCTCTGGGAGGCACCAATGGGTTTTGCATGGGATCTGAATGTGGTCTTGATGGGATCTGAATGATGTCCATGTGATCTCTACGGTCTCCCTTTGGGATCTCTAAGGGGTCCATATGGGATCACAGTGGGGTCTCTATGTGACATCTATGGGGTCCCTATGGGTCTCCATGGGATACCTATGGGGTCTCATGGGGTTTCTATGGGTCTCAGTGTGGTCTCAATCTGGCCTGGCTACATGAGGCTGTGTGTCAGCAGCTCCGTCTGCGCTGTCTGTCCTTCCTTCCCCACAGGGCTGATGGCGGCCGTGACGTTGGACGAGTCTGGGGGTGGCCTCCAGGCACCCGGAGGAGGGATCAGCCTCGTCTGCAAGGGCTCTGGATTTGACTTCAGCATTTTCCAGATGGAGTGGGTGCGACAGGCACCCGGCAAGGGGCTGGAATTCGTCGCCTGGATTAGCGGTGCTGGTAGTACCACAAGATACGGGGCGGCGGTGCAGGGCCGTGCCACCATCTCCAGGGACAACGGGCAGAGCACAGTGAGGCTGCAGCTGAACAACCTCAGGGCTGAGGACACCGCCACCTACTGCTGCGCGAAAGCTGCTGGTGGTTGTAGTGCTGATGGTGCTTATGAAGCTGGTTACATCGACTTGAAAGGGACACGTCTTCATCTGAATCTAGGAAGGTTCCATCTGGGATGCAGAGCTCTGCGCTGGAGGCACTGAATTTTTGTCCCCAACAAGTCTGTCTCCGTATCCATCTCCATCTCCATCTCCATCTCCA